ATATTAATAAAAAAATGTCATTTCTAGGATTTACCTCAAAATAGCACAGGGGTTAGTGGGGAGAGGAAGTTGGCAGAGAAGGAAATAAATGGGCATATTAAGGAAATCAGATTGACCAAGTTGACAATAACTGCAACTAGACACCTGACATTTAGGTGTTTGTTATGCTACAAAAGCAGAATTAATCAAAAAGTAAGATTTTTATTTAAAGCTAGAACTTCACTGAAATGAATGAACTTCAACAAGTCCCATCAACTACTCATTTTTAGAATGCTAAAAATCTTAAGACATTCAGTTCGGCATAGTTCACAAAGATCCCTTCTTTTGTGTATATGTGTATAAAAAAATATTTATAAGCGATGACACTTAGTGTTTCTACGGACATCAATTAAAAGTTCATTCAACAGTTTTACTGGAAACCTACTATAAAGCAAATATTGTGCTTTTTAAAAAAAGCACTTTTTTAAAAAGGCCTGAATTTTAAAGTATTTGAATTATTTAAAAGTTTATCTTAATTATGACAAATTACTGAATTTTCTGTTAACTCAATCATCAGCTTCATAAATATCACACCCGAAGGGCTTATGAAAACAGGGATTGCTGGACCCTACTCCACACTTTCACATTTAGTCTGGAATGTAGCCTAGCAATTTGGATTTCTAGAAAGTACTTGGTAACTGAGGCTTCTAGTCCACACACCAAATTTGTAAACCATTCTGTTGACCCATACCACCTCCAATCATTAAGAACAGGTGATAAAAGCATCTATAAACTGAGTTACTTTAGTCTTCAATGAGAAAGGAAGGGGTGAGGGATGGTGCTCCAGGTAATATTTCTATTGTGGCACCATCTCAATTATTTCTTTATTACAGAGCAAGGAAAGAGGGTGCCCAAGTCAGAGGGAGCCTATTCAGGATTCTCAACTCTACTTTTTTATAACCCCATGCCTAGTACGGGTAATCTCAATTCCAGCAAAATATTGACTATAAGCAGAAGACATAAAACAAGACCACAAACTGTAATTGGAAAATAACACAGCATACACATCTGCCCTCTAACCACAAATCACCACCATTATCTACTAGATGCACCCACAGATATTGATAAATTTTCACAGAAGTGTCAGCATATAGGTCCCTACTTATTAGATAAAATTTATGAGTTGTCTGATAACAGTCTTGAGGCATTCTGAGGAACCACAATGTACAGCTTCAGTTTTTTTAATTACTGTAATGTGAAGTTATCTATTCTGAATTATGTCCACACCAGAAAATCACCACGATCTAAAATTTTGTTTCTTACAGGAAAAAATTATATTGTTTTTCAAAAATCAGGCTTCAGAAAGTTAAGGTAAGGACCCAAATTTCAAGGGAATTCAGTGATGTTTGGTCTTTCCCAAGTTCCATCAAGCTGCCATTTTGTGCTAAACTGCACATTAACAGCTTTCTGTCATATTCCTCTCTTATACGCATTCTGTAAATGTTTTTGTCAGAAAATATCCTGGTTATTATTAACAACTGTCCCTTGAATGCTTACTTTGCTACATATAATTGTTTCATTTACTCATTTTAATCAGTTAAACCCAAATGGTGGCGATAAGGCTTAGTTTACCAAAGAAGAAATTAACGCCAAAAGTTGTTTTATAAATTGCCCAACGTGAAACTATTAAGTAGTGAATCCAGTTTTCCAACCTGGTCTTTTATGACTATTGTCAACTATACCACACTATGTCAACTATACCACAACATATTGAATCATACTGGTTAACAAAACTAGCCACCATTTATTGAGAATTTATCAAATGTTTATTAATATGTTGGTTTACATTATTTCATTCATCCTCTCAAAATCCCATGTGACAGCCTTCATTTTACTAGAAGGGTATTCACACCATAAATTTTCAGTTATTTGCCGAAGGGTCACATGTGGCAAAGTGAGGGGGCCAGTATTTGAACCCCGTCTGATTCCAAAGCTCAGTTTTTAGCTGGTACACTTGACATCCTCCTAACCTATACTCACATATAGGATTCCTGCATTTCCAACTTGCAAGCACAGAACTTGATACTTAAGCTGTGGTTTGTTGAAATATTACAGCTGATTGAAATATTTTAGTATTAGCTTTATTACTACAAGATTGGTATACTATATTGGGTCAGATTAAGTTTTAAAATTAACCTGATCTTCCAAATAATTATAACAATGCCTGATCTCTAAATCAGTTTGCCCTCATTTCCCTCTTAGCTCATTCTGTGAATCTAAGGGGACATTTAATAATCTGCTGAAATTTTGTCTGAAAATATACATAAAATTTGCCTTTGTAGCTATTTTTAGACGTATAACTCAATGGCATTAAGTGCATTTGCAATGTTGCCTAAATCCTACTACTATCCATCCACAGAATGTTCTTTTAAATTTCAAACCTTAAATGTAAAATTCCGACCTCTACTCAGGCCCTAGTTATTTTATCTAAGTGTTGAGGTTACAGTATTGAAATTTTGAAGAAACTGCTTTTTGTGTCTTTTTTTTAATCACTGATGAAACTATTGCATTTATATTACTAATGAAATTGTTGTTCTGAATAGGATTTTGAAACACTCTACCAAAGACCTCCTTCCAGGTCAACATGAATAGTTAATGAAATACTTCAAGTGTCAATTGCCTTGTACAAACAAAACACACTTTGCCTCTCCTGCTCATAAACTAGCATTTTCTACAGACAAGTAGTTATATAAATGTATACACATATATTTATAACTTTATTCTTGGCTTCCAATAAGGATTTACTCTTTTTTTTTTTAATTGCTTAGTGAACTTATGCAGCTTCTTTAAGCATTCCACCTTTTTCCCGTTAATATTTACAATCCATTTTAGAATAACTCTGGACACCTAAGTCTTTTAAGTATCAAAAAGATTGGGTTTTTTATTGAACTTTATTCTCTAACAGTAATTTCTCAGTCTTTAATATTTGGTATTAAACCAAGTAACTTCATGTGTAAGAAAGCATTTTAGAAATACTTTACAAAAGTATATCTGAGTAAAAATACCCTAGATGTAAAAGCACTGACTCAAATTCACAGGGTTTATTTTGAAACTCCTTATTACCTTACTATCTTATGGCAGTAGCAGCTAGAAATGGTAATGGGGAACTTGAACTTAGCAAACTGGAAAATGTTTCAAGTTTTATAGTTGAAAATATATTTTATAAGTAAAAGCCAAAACAAAGATGAAGCCATTTTCCCTTTTTGCTGCTGTTACTAAATATGGGGGAAATCCCCCCCTCCAAAAAAAAAAAAAAACCAAGATAATAGACTTGGTTATCAAATTCTTAAGCTAACTAAGTATGGATAAAGCACACTTAAACTTTAAGAGACAAAACAGTACTGCCATACATAGCAAGTACATAAAATGTACAGGAAGGCTGAATATCTAACTTGATTCAATTTTTTGGTTTCTTTAGCAAGCTTTATTAACCATCATGGATCCAGTGAAGTTTCGATTATCTGATATTTCGTATCAAAAAAAGACAATAAAAGAGGTCTTCCCAGAAAATAGTCTCTGTACCTCTGTCCCATCTGAGCAGGATCATACTGCTGCAGGCAATGTAACCTAGTTGTCAAAGTGGTTTTACACACCTAATTAAAGGCTTCGATAAAAGGAAATACATTAAAACTCAAACACTGTTCTCCTAGTGCCTCAAGTAGTTTATTGGTAGATATTATCCACATTTCTATAAATATAAACATTCTAAGTGACTGTCACTAGTGCAGGTACATTTGACATACGAAGCTCCACAGGAAGCTACTTCATTTTGTGTGTAACAGAATTAAGGTTCCAAAATTTCAGCTGTGCCACTAAAAAAAAAAACCACCAAAGTAAAAACCCTGCCAGCAAAGTGCATTTTTTTGCTTAACTTCTGAACAAACAGCTGTTGGCTTCACAAAATCATGTTGATTTGTTAATTTATGATTACTGGAAGTAAGTCTTTGCCTGTAGATAAAAATTAGGGAAAGGTTTTTCCTTTAAATTTAGTAGGTTTGTTTTTTATTCCAATGTAAACAGCACCAGGGAATTTTCACAAAACATAGCTTTTGCTATTTTCCCCTTCATTTTCTATAATTGTAATTGTTATCTGCAATACTGTATCATTTCTTCCTAACTTATAATCAGGACTGACTGCTCCTGTTAACAATGCTCAGTTTGTAAACAAAAAAAAGTTTGGAGCACATACAGGATTATCTTACATTTTCACTCCACAGTGCATCAGGTGTTGTTTATAAAGCTTTTGTTCCTCTCAAAACATTACAAAAATATATGAACAACCACATCTGTGTTCAGCCAGCAAACATTAGTAAAACATGTATTTTATAACTGGAATACTTTAGAGACCACGTATAGTAATTATACCTTCTTGGCTGAATTGATTAATTCCTTTCTTCTTTATCCATACATATATCCAAACATATGCATTTATACTTAGTCTACATGCCCAAATTGACTATATAAGTGTTATGTAATTTACCTAAGGTTCCTTAAGTGAAAGTGCTTCTGTCAACAAACTATTTCTGTAACAGCCCTAAATCCCAAAGGAGTTAAATCTGACCATGTAGAAAGATGCATAGCTATTTCTAAAAACGAAAAGACTACACACCAAAACATGCTTTGTTGGGAAAACTAATCCATGCATTTGAATATACCCCAAATACCTTATTTCTATTAAATGAGACCAACTTAACTAAACATTGCCTAGAATTAAGATATATCATTACATTATTTGATTCCAGAAAAAGGCAAAAATTATTTGGCCAAAACTTAAAAAAGGCCAAATACTTCCTTCTTTCCCTTACTGGTTGGACCAATGTGGTCATTATAACTGAATATACATATTAATCTACCTTAACATATCCATTCATTAGCATTTTTACCTTAACATACAAAGCCTGTCTGCAATTACCTTGCAAAGACTTCCCCCCAAAAGATATAAGCACAAAACACTAGGCAGACACTCTTCAAAGTTTTATTTCACTAACTTCAAGTCAAATTCCACAACTGTGTTTTCTGGTCAATTTACTATCCTTGCTTGGCTTCCCAAAATGGTAGTACCAAAAGATTTGTGGGGTAGGAAGAGACACTTTAAGAAGCACTGCATTTACTCATCTTCCACAAGGCAATAGAATTGGGCATCTGATTGTTCAACAAAACAAAGCTTTAACAGCATCCAGGACGGCAGGCAGGCAAACCAGGCTGTAGACACTCTTCCACTTGTCAAAATCAGGTCAGAGAAAACCTACTCCACACAAATGTTATCCCCATTCATCTTTTCTTTTTTTGTTGTCGCAACATTTTTCTTCTTTTAATAATCATATCATGTAGTTTCTCAAGTCCTTCTTTTAGTCCATCTCCTATGATTGCACAGGTAGGCTGCAAATGCCAGGGAGTTGATGAGCTCAGTTCCCCCATTGCTAACAATTTCTCAATTTCCGTGAGAGACAGTGAGTTCCTCAGATCTTGTTTGTTAGCAACTATAAGTACAGGGACTCCTTGATTTTCTGATATCCTAGTTATTTTATGAAGTTCAGTTTTGGCTTCTTCCATTCTTTCAACATCAACAGAGTCCACAACAAATACAATGCCATCGGTGCATCTGGTATATGACTTCCACAGTGGCCTTAATTTTTCCTGACCACCTACATCCCAGAAGTGAAAAGTGACTGTTTTAGAATTTCCCAAGGTGACCTTAATTTTTTCAGTGTTAAATCCTTTGGTAGGCACGGTATTTACAAATTCATTGAACTGCAACCTGTATAATACAGTTGTCTTTCCAGCACAGTCCAAACCCAGAATAACAATGTGGAAGGACTGAAATGAAGGCAGGCTGGACAGGATAGAAGTCTGGTCTGACAGTCCATTCCCCATTTCCAGCTGTAAATAAGTGTTCCAAATTGAAAGACTTTCTTCTCACAGCTTTAGAACTTTTCTTCCTAAGGGATCCAGCTACAAGACTGCTGAGGGAAAATGAATAAGTTATTCTTGTGAAATAATGTACTACAACTGTTTTTCTCTCTCTCTCTCTGCTGAAATAAGCAAAATAAGGACCTCATTTAAAAAAAAAAAGGTGCTTTGGTAAACAAACCCAATGAGATATGATATGAAACGTACACAAATGACAAGGCAAATGACAAAATCATCTTTTTGACTGAAATTCTTTAATGTTGACGAAAATTGCAGGAGTACATACTTTTTTTTTTTTACTTCCCTCGGTCCCTAAACCTCAAAGAGACAACCCTAGTCCCCAGTATTCTTACAATTCGCAGTAACCACGTTAAGTGCCTTTTGGGGCAGAAAATTCGTAACACATGATCCTAGTTTGGTGCTCTACCCTACAAGCTTAACAGCGTTACCTAAATCACCACTACTACCCCTTCCCCTAGAAGACACCACAACGCTCTCACCTCCTGAACTGGAGCCTGAGTCCAACCGAGAACGCATCGATAGGGGTTTCTCCGCGGGGTGCGCACCCCACGCCCGCTCGCCTCAACTCTCCACGCAGCTCTGCCCGCGGCTGCCGCACTAGAAAGCTGGGATTCAGTCTCCGACCCCGCCCACTCCGCAGGGCCCACCCCTCAGCCCCCATGCCATTGGTCACTCGCGGCGGAGCGTCCACGCTACGCCCGCCCCCGCGCCCTAATTGGTGCGCACAACTGCCGCTCCCAGCGCAGCAGAGCCGGACTCTCCCTCGGTGCACAGGCACCACCTGTTGCCCGCAAGTTGGAAAACCAGGCGCCCGCGGCGGAGCCGAGCGGCCCCTGCAGGGGAGCGAGAGCTTCGACCCGCCGGCCGCGTCGTCGCCAGCCCGCCCGCTCCGCCCGCCGGGTGCACCTGCCGCGCAGCCCACGGACTCGGCTCCGCGGCTCTCACTTCCGGGGCCCGGGGCCACCCCCGGCGCGTTAACCCTCCCTCCGCCGGCCTGGGGCGCTCGGAGCGGCCGCGCCGTGCCCCGGGCGTGCCTGACGCGAGGTGCGGGACCCGCCCAGGCCGGCCCGGGTCCCCGCGGTCTGACCCCTTCACCTCGCCCCACCCCTGCCCGCCGCACCCGGCCGGCTCGACTCCCTCTGCAGGGCGTGGCCGCGCCGGCTGCCCGCCCCGCTGCGGCTCACCTGACCGGCCTTCTCTCCAGACGCGGCGTCGTTTTCAGGCGCCCGGGCGCGCGCTGGCAGCTGCGGGGGGGCACCCGCGAGGCCGGGGCGGTGGCAGTGGACGAAACGCCGCTGCTGGGGGCGCCGGGCGGGCGCCGCGCGCCAACCGCCCTAACGGTGCTCGGACGCGCGCTCCCGGCGCCGGCCGCGGCCCCGCCCCTTCCCAGCGCGGGCTCCGGCGCCGTCCAGTGCGGGGCGCGCGCGAGCCCGTCTCCTAGCAACGCAAAAACAAGGTCACGTTTGAACCCGCAGAGCGGAGGCTGCGGCGAGCTGGGGGGGCGGGGCTTCCGGCCGCGGCCCCGGGAGACGTCTGCGGTCCGGGGCCCCGGGGAGCTCGCTTCGGGCGGGGCCCGCTCGCGCCGACACCGCCCTTCCTCTGGGCACCTTAGGGCGGCCCGGGGCGTCAGCGGGTGACGCAGGGCCAGGGATTTCTGAGAACAGCAGACGGATGGGACACTTACATAACAGAATGGCGAGCCGGGCTTCAACAGCCGCCCCGCGTGGCCAGAGGCACCCTGGGGTCTGCAACGCACCTTTCTTTTGCAGGGCGAATTGCTCGCTCGCTCGCTCGCGCCGCGGCTGCCCCTCGCACTTGCTCACTCAGTGGCGGCCCTAGAACTTAAATTCTATTCGTCATTATGGATAATTGACTCTAAATGCAGTAATTGTGTGCTTGATCTATATATTTGCAAGTATTTCCTGACACGTAATAGGCAGTAGGCACACTGCTCTGTGTTTGGAATATTGGGCGTTTCTTGGGAAAAGGGGGAATTATCCAAATTGCCACAGGAATGAATGAATTACAATATGTGACCTGGAAGAAACTTTATGCTTTTTTTCAAAAACATTCACTTTTTAAATATGATTATATTTCCTCAAGAAATCTGATGATTATTCTCACGGCTGTTGTGGCTAATGATATACTTCTCCTTTATGATACATTTGTCCTCACTACCATAAGAACATACTAGGCTTAAAAAAGATTTTTTTAGAAGATTTATTTATTTATGCATATGAGAGCTGGGGTACAGGCCAGAGATGCGGGATGGTGAGAGGATTCATCAGAGTGGGGAACAGAACAGGCAGACTGACAGACTACACTGCTGAGGGGAGAAGCGGGCGAGACAGGAGAGCTCTACTGTGCCATGTGGGTTAGCTCCCTGGCCTGCTGGGGATAGAACTCATGCTGCAGAGGCTGGGGATTGCTTCAGCGTGCAGTGCTTAACCCCTTGCACCAGAGAGGCCCTAAAAAAATGTTTTTAAAAGCTAACTTTAGACCTAAGAACTGAGCACGATGCGTATTTTCAGGAAAACAACAGTAATTTAAAAAATAAAACTGGAAGTCTTAAATGATATATTCTGTCTTGTTGCTTAATGTTTCTAGAGTAAGCTGAGACTTGACTTGTAATTGTGGAATCTCATTCTCTCTTTATAATAATTATCAAGAGATAAAGGGCTTACTGCAATAATTAGTTGCTTTTTTTTTTTTCCCTAGGAAATTTAACTGGGATTCTTTCTTAAACCAGAACAACTTACAAGTTCTCATTAAATGAGAAATTAAGAGCAAGATTCCACGACAGCCTTCCATTTATAACATTGAAATCAAGTAGGCCTTTCCAGTATTTGTTGCAAGAGTCCATTTTTGTAGAGTCTCCCCCCTGGAGCAAAAAGGATGAGAGAAAATACTGAGAGCTTCCAGTCCTGCAGAATTACCTTCACTAAATTGTACTTCTAATATTATATCCTAGACTTAAAACTAGTACAGGACTTGGCAAACTGCAGCCCTTGGGCCAGTCAGGAGATAAGAAGGTTTTTAGTATTTACAAGTCTGCAACAGAAATGCAGTAGAGACCATCTGTGGCTCACAAAGCCTAAAATATTTGCTTTCTGGCTCTGTAGAGGAAAATTATACTCCTGCTCTCTAAGCAATAACAACCATATGACAATTGCAACAATGATATAAAAATGATGGCAGTATTCCACACTGCCCACTTTGTTGCACAATCTTTCTATAGGAGGCCCATTCCATTTGACATATATGCTATGCCAGGAAAATGTCCCCTTTTACACTGTAATTCATTACTTGTATGCGAAAGTACTCTGATGTTGTGGGGAACTCATAGGGATTCTGTGGGGTATTTTAACTTTGTAAGGAAAGCACAGTGACATCTGTTTAGACCATGTTAAGAAATACACTATCTATTTAGGAAAAGGAAATTTGGGATATTTCTTTGGGCCTGAGGAACCATGAAAAAATTGCTGAGACAATGAGCTCTGTGAAACTCTACCCGTATATATACTTTTCTAAACCTGCCTAATGAAATCAATTGGCAGTCCTTGTACACCTACTATAGGTTTCTGGTCCCCACCAGGGGAGGGGCTAACCATGTGCATCTTCAACAAGTATCCCAGTTAATTAACGGTTAGACATTCAGAGGAAATACTAATCTTAAGTGTTTACTAAACCCTAATCTTCCTCTCTCGTGTAATCTGACTTTCTAAGATATACTCAAGTAAAGCATCAGGTACTGCAATTAATGTCCTTTCTAATCTTTGCCACCTCTCACTTTCCTCATCTTTTATGGAATGCTTTCTCTTCTGGGATACCTCACGTGATTTGTTTCAGTATATATTTTTTGGAATCTCCCAAGTTTGAAGGTCTGAATAAATAGAAGATATGATCTTTGTCTAAAGGAATTAGTTCAGTGGAGGTGCAGGATGCATAAGCACATAATTGCTATGATATACAGTGGGACTTCTAAGTAGTAAAATAAAAGTTATTATCAAGAACTGTGCCTTACAAAATTTATCAGGCAAAGTCAGGGTAGCTTAACAGAAAATTATAATTCTCAAACTAAATTTTAAATGAACTGAATACCAGATAAGGAGTAGGAAAGCACAATAGTCATATGGAAAATGTCATCTCATACTTCTCAAACCCTTTTGGACATACTTCTCCAATGCATATGTAACATTATCTAGGGGAAATCATCTGTAACATTATCTAGGGGAAATCATCTGGTAAGCCACAAAACAAATAACAACAAGCTCCAGAAAACTAAAATTACATCAACTAAACTCTAGTCACAATGATATGAAACTAGTAACAGGAGGAAAATTTACAAATACATGGAAATTAAACAATTGACAATGCCATCCTAAATAACAATGGATCAACAAAAAGTCAAAATGGGAAAAAAATTGAGACAAAATTGAGACAAAATGAGACAAAAGAAAATGGAAACACACATACCAAAACCTATAGGTGCAATAATTTAAAAATTAATTCTAACAGAAAATTTTATAGCTATAAATGCCTACATTAAGAAAAACGAAATGTCTAAAATAATCTAACATCATACCTCAAATAACTGGAAAAAGAACAAACTAAGCCCAAAGATAGCAGGAAAAGGAAATAATAAGGATTTGAGCAAAGGATATAGAAAATAGAAAAATAATAGCTGAGCAAACTAAGAGTTGATTATTCAAAGATAAGTAAAACTGAAAAACCCTTAGCCAGGTTACATCCACCCCCACCCTACAAAAAAAAAAGAGAGTGAGAAAGCACTCAAAATTATAAATGTAAGAGGGGACACTTCAGGGCCTCTCTGGTGGCGCAAGGAGTTAAATCTCAGCACTATGACACTAACCTCAGCCACTGCAACATGAGTTTGATCCCCGGCCAGGGAGCTAACTCAGATGGCACAGCAGACCTCTTCTGCCTTGCCCACTGCTCCCCTCAGCAGTGTCTTTCAGTAGATCCACCTGTTCTGCTCCCCAATCTGTCTCTGGTGAATCCTTTCATCTATCGCACCTCTAGCTTATACACCAGTTCTTTTATGCATAAATAAATAAATCTTTTTTAAAAATTGCAGGCCAGTACCCCTGATGAACAGAGGTACAAAAATTCTCAAGAAAATATTAGCAAGCGGATTCTATACATTAAAAAGGATGATTCATTAAAAGGATCATACACTATAATTAAATGGGAGTTACTCTGGGATGTAAGGATGGCTCAGCACATGCAAATCAATGAATATGATATACTACATACATTGATAACATGAAGAATAAAAATCATGTGATCACCTCAATAGATGTAGAAAAAACATATCACCTCCAACTCTCTTTTTTCATCACTGAAATATTTTTAATATTTAGTATCACTTTGTGATACTGTGAGATCTCCTCAGAAGACAACTCTGTAATTGGTTAAAATATTAGTTTTCCCACCTGGACCTATTGAATCAGACTACCTAGGGGTGAGTGCTTTAGAAACTTCTGGAACAAAATGTAGCTAGAAATCATTGACTGAAGTTAAGAATAAAAGTTAATGCAGGACAAATTTCCAGAGTTTTTGGAAAGATG